GACAGACAGACAGCCATGGCTAAATTTTCACGCCCCTGTGCATGAAAATTATTCTTTTTCTCGTGCGCACATACTCCACACACGATCCCTCTAAAAAACAGCCTTTTTTTTGCAAAACAAAACAAAAAGCGTACCCCTAACGGGCCCCACTTTTTCAAAAAAAAAACTATTAAAAACGAAACAAAAATACAGGAGGACACTTCCCACACCCGCCCAACCAAAGAAAAATCAAATGGTAAATGAGGACACTAGTCCCTGTCAGAGACAGAGGCCGGTGCTCTGGCAGTATTCTCCCACTGCCAAGGGTGGCTATTTCCTTTCGTGAGATGTAACGAGGAGAGAGGTAGAAAAAGAGTGTGACCAGAGGGAGGGTTGAGAGGGGCGAGCCGGAGGCTCCCCCATCTCTTCCCTCGGCAAGCGGCCATGGACTTCGGAAGAGACAAATCTCCTCGGTGCTTTACTTGCCACTTCTCCCGATGGCAAGTTACCCCGAGGAATCGTATCTTCCTATACTTTGTATGTGCACAAATGGCTATATATTNCCGGAGGCTCCCCCATCTCTTCCCTCGGCAAGCGGCCATGGACTTCGGAAGAGACAAATCTCCTCGGTGCTTTACTTGCCACTTCTCCCGATGGCAAGTTACCCCGAGGAATCATATCTTCCTATACTTTGTATGTGCACAAATGGTTGGTTATATATTCCGACATGTGTCCTCCACATCACCCCCCCCTCTATGCGCCACAAGTCCATCTGTGCTAAAGATGTGCTTTTGGCGTTCAGAGACATGAGTGGCTCATGTAGACTCATGCATCGGAAATAACCAATATCCATAATGACATTGTGCAACACCATCGACTACATCTGANTCCCGATGGCAAGTTACCCCGAGGAATCATATCTTCCTATACTTTGTATGTGCACAAATGGTTGGTTATATATTCCGACAGGTGTCCTCCACATCACCCCCCCCTCTATGCGCCACAAGTCCATCTGTGCTAAAGATGTGCTTTTGGCGTTCAGAGACATGAGTGGCTCATGGAGACGCATGCATCGGATATAACCTATATCCATTGTGCAACACCATCGACTACATCTAATTATCGTACAACGCGTGTTGAGAAAGCACGGGGAGTCTTCAGACGGTCGATGAATGTGGTCCATATTAGTTTAGTCTAGAAAATGGTGGGTACTGGGCTGTCATGATGACAGCTTGGGTACTAGAAAAATTTCCCATGGTCATGATCGCGTGACATGCCATGTGTGGGGATGATGTGGGG